GTTGGGAAAGAACTTTTTCAATACATTGCAGTTCAGCTTGCAACTGGCTTTGTGCTGCAGAATTACATAGAAGTATGAATCAAAACAAATTTATAACAGGGAAGGCATGGTGAACGTGAAGACCGATGGATATGTACCTTTTTCAAACACAGATTCTTCCTCAGCAGATAAAACGAAGCGTTGTCCCTCATCTTCAGGATTATAAAAGAGTGCCGGACATTTCCCTGGAAAAAACAATAGTTACCAAGTTGTGAGATTGAGTTTTGACCAATGACCACCAATCCATAACCGAGAGATAACGCACAAGGTGAAGACGAACGAAGACCCCTGTTGATGCCTAATGAATTGCCATGCAATGCTGCAACATTTGAAGCTTTAAAAACAAAAAAAACCAGAAAATACTAAGTCATTGTGTAAAGCCTGATGAACTTTGTCATTATGTGATTAACAAAAACAAAATACTTACATTGCTGAGTGGATACAGTATTATGAACGAAAGTCGACTGAGTAGATGACTCACCTAATTCAAATGTAGTCACACCCATAATCCAGGTTGGGTTTGGATCACGTAATCAATAATGGTCAGCTCACGCCACACTACTTACTCTAAGAAAACAAAAAGCACACCACAGAAGACAACAATGGCAGTCAGGAATGAAGGATCAAGCATCAACAATGTCATCTGTGTCTCAAAATGTAAGAAACTGCCGCCAATCGGGAAACTGACTCTGGTTTGCCAATTGATTACACAAAACTGGAAGCTAGGGAACCGATTTCCCAAGCAGAACTCATTCTGTGACTGCTCCCCCAACGGGTTCACAGAACTGAGATGTTGAAAATAGATTTCTGACTGATTAATGATTATGGTTCAATGCTTCCTATCCAAAACCACTCATCTAGAATAATCAAAACTTGGGGGAACGAAAATAATGAACCAAGAATGAGCAAATACGTTGTACACACTTATCATCGCCAATTCTGCATATCTACATTAATATAGAGGCACAATGGGGGAGGCAATCTTACTTGGTGGCTTCTGTTAATAGGCAGAATGTCCATAATCATATTAAATCTTCAATGAATTCGAGAGGAGATCATTGTTGTGTCTATTTTTTATAATGTTAATTGACAGCAGTGAATATATGATGAACGTCCTTGTAGCAACTGACGTCAATGCGAAGATTGAGAAATCAAAACCTGCACATGAACATGACTTCATAAACACTATGCACCAACTATATTGATTATACCTCAAAACAGGTGAGTAACAAAAAGAATGCACTTCTGGTTTTCGAACGAATAAAACAGATCATCTATGTTCTGCTGTCCGTGTATAGGGTATGGAGCAAAAATCCAAAAGACAGGCTATGAAGTTAAAGGTCTAATAACAGAAGAAAAACCAAACTCTGTTGGAATACAGATCAAATCAAGCCAACAGTTAGAACTCAAATTACCAGACAAATGAGTGCTACGAATGAACCACCAAAGCTTTGATAACACCAAAGGTTTCAGACCCTGTTCCCACAACCCTTCTAGGTAAAAAGGTCCATCCTGAACCTTGAATGACAACCACGAAAATAGATTTCTTACTCATTTCGGCGGTCCATGACGGAAAACGTAGAATTCGATTACCTAACTAAGCTCAACCCTACATGGAGCCGAAACCTTAATTCTACCTGATTTCGGGAGTGAAGACAAAGTACTGAGAGTCCGGTTACCTTCATAACTACAGTTCAATGAATCGACACCATGGGGTGACAGGCCGCGCTCGGATGGTGTGTAATTTCAACGTCGAAGAAACGGGACGGACAGACCGCGCTTACTGATTTCGCCGGTCAAGAGACAGAATGGGGAGAGCGCTGCTCCAACTGATCACACAAAATAAGGCGAACGGATTCCGTCGGTGAAGACACTGGCAAGAGACACCGCGCTGACTGTATTCGACGGTGAAATCAATGAAGGGAGCGAGCGCTGATCGTACCGACGGGGAAAAAAAACCACCAGGCCCGTTCAACGCAATATGAACCGGGGAATTTTTTCCTTGAACGAAAATACCCCTCCGAGAAACGCTCTGGAGGCAGCAAATTCAAAATGGGGGTTCAGTTTTAGGATTCAGCGTATTATAAATAGGGTAGATTAAAACTTTAAACGGCATAACTATGCATTGGATCATCTGATTGGAGTAATTTTTTTAGATCTACATATGAAGGTACAAATACTGTCTTGATTTCCAAATAAGGTCATTTGATACCTCATATATGATCATTTTATAATTTTATAATCTTAAACAATTGTAATTTTGTGCTCTTCTATTCTAACGGGGCAAATCTTTTATAATTTGCATAACTTTTCAAGTACTATAATTTTTACCACAGACAATCCCTCTATAATATATAGCCGTTCTTCATGAGATTTTGAGCATTTCAAATTCCTTGCACTAGATTTTGAGCATTTCAAATTCCTTGCACTCTCCTTAATTGTAGTTAGGGGTAAATTTGTAAGTTCAACTTAGAACTTAAATATCTTCTTACGAGAAAAAAAAAGTCATTACAAAGCCTTGAACTCATGTCCTTTAGATTGATAATCAATATCCCTAACCAACTAGACTACAACAAAGTTTATGTATTTTTTGAATTAAAGAGAGAAAATACTGGAATATCTCAAAATCATAGGACTATCCACCGCAACAATCAATCATCGAATTAATTAATAACTGTAATTATTTACAAAGTGAATCATCATGATATACCTAGCTTTATGAATCAACTAAGTGAGTTCCTCTAATCACACAATTCTTCACCAAGAATCAAATAGTAAATTTTGATTTTATGTATGTCTTACAACTTTTACATTTATTAGGTTACATGACTGTGTAGTTTGTAGGAATACAAGAATTGTTTACAAAAGTGCTATACAAAATTTTATTTCAAACATAAAATTTGACATTTTTGATCTATTGTTTTGTAACGAGACATTTTCAATGCTATAAGTGAATGACCGAAAATCATTTGCTAATAATATTCCTAATGGTAGACAATTATAAGCATAGAATTAAAAGACTAAATACCATTGACAAAGGAGCCAATTATCATTGGCTAAATTTAACAAACAATGGTATGTGTATATACATTGGAAATTCTATGGTACGCTCGATGGATTGAGGGTTATTGCATCTCCTTAGTTAAATAACATTAAACCATAGATTAATCATGTAACTAACCCCTATATTATAATTCTCTAAATCCTAACATAGTGCATATGGTATGTTGTATACATCTTGGCGAATCAGGATCATTGATTATGTTCTTAGTATATGTAATATTAGAGTTTAAGTTCTATAGATTTAGGGTCTATGATTTAATTATTTGAAACTTAATCTTCCTTTTCAAATTTCCTGCAATGAGAGGGAAATTATGAAGGATATTTTTGTCGTCACAATTATCTGTATTTTTTACTTATTTACAAAAAAAGATAGACATATTGAGATTTGAACCATGGTATCTAATGGGCTAACCGCTAACCATTACATAAAAGAGTTGAATGGGCCTGACCTACACGGGATTTGGCCATCAAGTAAAACAAATGAACATCATTGGTTTGCCATTCTAAAAGAAGCTATTTTCTCTGGCATAATATATATTATGCTATTATTTTATATCTTAGTGGCTAAAATATAATGTATTTTAAAGTTATTCAATAGTTCAACCTCGACCAACCCAATTAGTCCAATTTTTATCATTTCAAATATATATTATATAATTATTTGCTATCATAATGATCAAATTATAGTGTATTTTATAGGGAATCGTTTGGTATTTGTTAGTAAAAAACTAAAGATCTTATTGGTTATTTTAAACATTAAAACGATCCTAAACATTTTCAGTTCCTTTTGAATTTCTATGGTTTCTTCCCGAATAAGTGATGTGCAAATGACAAATTGCAGTCATCTCTTTTCTTTCACTATTTTTTATTTTCAAATAGAAAGTTTAAAAGTAAAGAATAATTAGAATTTGGCATGGGTCACTCAAGCAGGCTGAATTTCAAGTTTTGGCCCGTTTTGATCAAGTCTAATTTATAATCACATGGTTCCCTGATACTCGATAAAAATCTCAATCCAAACTAGTTTGGCAGGTGAGTCCGTGTTTACCACCATTTTCTAGGGATACGACAACGGCGGTTCCTATCCCAAATCGTGTTGTTCGTTCTTGATTTCCTTAGATTTTATCATGGCCTGACAAAAACCAGAAAGCACAATGATGATAAGATGAAAGTTTTATAAAGCAAATTAATCGGTCAACGAGCCGAGTAAAAGCTAGCAACAATTGTGAGATGCTCATTTCCCGAAACCCGTCGGGATAAACTATTTTTTATTCGATTTTCTGGAATTCGGTTTCTATAAAACTTACTCCACCTCATCATATTACCAGAAACAATATTGTTTCACAAGGTAACAGATACTTGATTTTGGTTCATAAGGCCAATTTTTGATTTCTTGCATCATTCATGTCTCTTTCCTGCTAAAATTCACTATTTTTATCACGTATTTCTCAAAAAAAACTATACAAAAATAAGCTATACACCCCATTACATTATCAAATTTCATATGTCACTTTCCTCCGGCCAAGGGCCGGGGCACGCTAGTTTAAAAAATGGCATATTTATGAATTATAGCGGCATATTTATAAAAGTTGTAGTTTTGGAAAAGTCAATGCAAAAAAGCCTACCGACTTCTGTCAGTATTCTGTACTTCTTATCAAGCCCAAGCCCAAGCCCAAGCCCAAGGTTCTTGGTAGTTGGTACCGGGTCTGTGGGCCAGCTCCCACTCCTAATCGAACTGTAAACTCTGAATTCTCTAGTGATCAATAGACGAAGAAAGCGAAACTTCAGGGATCTAAGCGACCATTCTGACTAGAATTTTTTTTTTTTTTTGTTTTTGTTTTTCTGACTAGAATTTTTTAAATTCCTTCATCTTTAAACATTTGCTTTACCCTTTTCGGCACGCCGGCTCCTTGTTCCAATTTCCATCGCCTTCGTTCTTCTTCTTCTTCTTCTCTCTAATAATTCTTTCCCTTCCATCTCTCTCTCTCTCTTGTTTACAAAAAATCTAAAGCTATAAAACGCGAGGAGGAGATTCTGCTCGTTTATTCTTTGATTCGATCCGCACCCTGCAATTCACGAAACCGATCCCAATCTCCAGTTCCCCCCTTGTTGAAGTTCTTTAGGTTTTGGAAATCGAATTGCAAATTGCAATGGAGAACAATTACAGCAGCAGCAACACCGCCAATTCCAAGTCAGGTCCAGAAGCAGAACCGAAGCCTAACGAGACCGCTACCGCGCCTGTCGCTAGGGAGCAAGAAAACCACCTTCCTAAAGACCCTCTTGTCCCTGCTCCGGTGACTAACGGAGAAGCTGCGGCGGTAGATGAAGATGGAGAAGCAAGCGACGTCGTGGACCTCGACGACGAAGAAGAAGAAGAGGAGGAAGGGGAAGAAGAAGACGAGCGGCAGCAAGAGGCGGCTCCTGCTCGCCAGTCTTCGACAAGGACTCCTTTCACTAATCTTAGTCAGGAAGATGCTGACCTCGCTCTCGCCCGCACCCTCCAAGAACAGGTTTCCGTCCCTCTTTCTTTTTTCCTGTTCTGTTTTCATTGCAGTTGAGGACGGGAGCTCACTGCAATTTCAATAGGGTTATTAGTGGCGAAATGGGTTTGCCCAGTATTAGATAATTTGCGTCTTGGCTCGTCTGTCTTTGTGCTCATGAATTCGGTTTGCAGTTATGTGATCGAACCGTGGTAGCAGTAGCATTAGTAGCCAGGAATCAGGATATGTTTTGTTGAAATACTGGTCCTTTTTTGTTTTATTTTATGGAGTGCTATCTTTGATGTCGTTGCTTGTGCATTAGGAAAGAGCATACATGATGCTAAGTCGTGCATCAATGAGCCTAGATGGGGAGACTGAATGGGTAGGAGGAAGCTATTTGGGAGAAGATGAAGACGATGACGATTTTGATGACCCTGATGATGTGATTGATGATGAGTATGATGAGGATGATTATGGTGAAAGTGAGGAGTTGGGTGAAGGTGGTGTTGATGCTTTTGACGTCCATGCCCAAGCTGATGTTGATGATGATGAACATGGTGGTCCTAACCTTGAAGTAGATGACCCTTCTGCGTTTTCAAGCGACGAGGCTTACGCTAGAGCGTTACAGGATGCCGAAGAAAGGGAGATGGCTGCCAGACTGCTTGCCCTTGCTGGGTTAAATGATAGTCAGTCTTCGCATATGTTTCTTTTTGCTTTTCACCTTGCTTGATCTTTTGTACTTTGTCTTATTTGGGGACCATCTGACTTGCTATCTCTTCAATTTTAGGGGCAGTTGAATATGTTGAACAGCATGGTGGCCATTCTCAGGTACAAATTTTCGACATTGTATGATTTTCCACCTCACACTCGCTGTTGGTAACAATCAGTATGTTATTCGTTTTGGTTTTTGCCTAGTTTGAGAAATTTCACCGTATGTATCTTAGGCATTTCGATGCTTATATAATAGTTATCTCCGGTGTGTGTTACACCCCTGAGGTTAATGTGCCTTTAGCTTTGTAAGCCCAGCATGAACTGGAAATAACATTCTTTTTTTTTTTTTTTTGGTTTAGCCAAGGAGAGATAGTTATCACTGGGTTGAAATGTTTGACTTTTATGTTGGGTTCCATAGAACTACTGAATTTAATAGTGGCTAAGTAAAGTAAAGATTATATGGAGCAAATTGGCAGTAGTTATATAATTCCCTTTAGCTCTAGAGAATCTTAAGGGTTATCCACATGTCTGAGGATGATTAACAGTCATTATTTCACGGCTGTTATCAATGAACACACATTAAATGAATAAGTGGTGAATTTAGTGTAATTACTCAGTAAATATGGTTTGACTGCGGTCCAGCTAGAGGTACGCATTTGCTTGTATAGAAGTGAAAACAGAAATGTTCAATTTACAGCCTCTTGCTTTTTTTGTTTGTTTGTAGGGATAAATCTACATGCTACTATGTGCAAATTGACTCATTTTTCCCCAATAAGCATGTGTAAGCTGCCATTTACCACTTTCCCGTAACTAATATGCTGCCCTGGATTGTGCAGGATACATGGGAGGAAGTTGACCCAGATGAGCTTTCTTATGAGGTGAACTACTGCATAACCAACTATGCCGGACCAATGAATTTCCTTTTGGTTGTCTGCTTTTCTAATGATTTAAATAATTCTCTTTCAGGAGCTGCTTGCTCTGGGAGACGTAGTAGGAACTGAAAGCAGAGGGCTATCAGCCGACACAATCGCCAACCTGCCTAGCGTGAACTATAAGTCTGGAAGTAACGAGAGTGGAACTAGTGATTCGTAAGTTCTAAAAGTGGATAGTTTAACTGCTGGTTGAATGCTCAATGTGGTTGGTAATGTGAAATTTGAAGTGCTCGGTATTTTCGCAGTTGTGTGATATGTCGGTTGGATTATGAGGATGAAGAGGCCGTGACAGTGCTCACGTGCAAACATTCGTACCATGCAGAGTGCATCAACAATTGGCTGCAAATAAACAAGGTAGTTAACTCGTCGAAATGCCTGAATATGGTCTTCGGTTACATTCACGATTTAGTGGTGCAATAGGAGCTGGAATCCATGTATAACAGCTGCTACTGGGGTTTGGTGCAGGTATGTCCTGTTTGCAGTACAGAGGTATCGACGACAGGATGAAGCCAGTCGTCCTAGCATTTCTGATAGATTCGTCTGCCAAGAACATGCCCGAAGAGCGGGAGGTCGGTAGAGCCTAGGTTGGAGGATTGGAGAGTAGGGTTGCTTCATTTTATTGGGTGGGGGAGAGTGGCTAGAGGGCAGCGGAACTGCGGAAGGGCAAACGTAGGGACATTTGATACTGTTTTCACTGTATATGTACTATATGATTCTGGGATCTAGTTTCCGCATGAGTCATGAGACAACTTCTCCGGCTGTATTTCAACAGGGAGTAAATTATCACTTCTGGTTCTGGTAATTGGTCGGTGGTTTCGTCGTCTCTTTATCTCATTCTGGTTCTGTTTAAGCAATCCGACCAGGATGCTCATAACTAGTCGTGAGCGCATCCATCTGATAGAAATCTATTTCTAGGGTTCTATTAATGGGATTGAGAATTGAGTTAGATTTAGTATTATTGTTATTATTTATAATTGGGAATTGGATCGACTATTAATAGTGGGTGTGGTTGGCGGCCAGGTTTGGCCAACTGTAACGATTGGGACTTAGTTGTAAACAAGTGTTAGTTTGGGATGTTTTTGTAATTTGGTTGGTCCTATGAAAGGGACGTTGCTGAAATGGGAAGATTAAGAAATTACACAATCAATTTTTCCAATTCTTCTTTTTGCTTTCTCCCTCTCGTTCTCGGTCTACTTCTTTTTTCTGATCTTCTTCCCCAATCTCTCCTCCTCTTCTCCTCTAATCCTAATTATGTTCTGCAATTACGTGTTCTTTCCAATTCCATTGGCATGGGCATTTTCCGATCCATCGGAATCCTACTCTCATTACCTTGGTTGTCATGTTGGTGGAATGCCGATAAGGTACAATCAGTTCTGGTCATCAAGCCGGTGTGAACACCATTGACATGATAGGTATAATCTATTTACGAATTCTCAGCAAAATGACATTATTTTAGTGAATTCAATTAATAAAAAATGAATTTATTATTTGTTTTATGGGGTCAGACTGGTGTACTGCTGGAGTATTTACTATACTCCAGGTACTTCTAGTGAGATATCTCTATTTAGATAACGAATTACACCAAGTTTTGAGTATTATACTATACCCTAACCTCTAATAGATAAACCCAGATCCCGATTTTCTAAACTCAAACACGAATTTACATTTAATAAAAAATAATAATTGACCGTTGAGATTGGTTGGAGCTCATTAAAGTGCACCTAACAGTCACATCACCCGGAGTATAGCAGTAATTTCCTTGTTTTATGAATTTAAAAGTTGATATTATTTGTTTGATTCAATTAAAGATATTTAGGTCTTCACGTTAAATATATTGTATTTAAATATGATTCGGAATGTGACATTTTATGTAATTATGAATATGGATTATAACGGATCGTTTGGATGCATCATTTTGGTTATGTGGTATTTCGAATCAAAATTTTGTATTATTTTGCTATGTGACATTTCATGTGGTATTTTAGTTTGGAATGTGGTAATTTGGTCAATTGTTTTGTTTGGATAAAACATTCAATTATTGTGTTATTTTACCACTTAGAGAAAGTGAAGGGAATCATATGGAATGGCTTTTGGATCTGGAATGGCTTTTGCGAGGTCAAGGAACATATGAAGGCTGGTTTGTTGAAGGGGATCATGTCTGGGGAGGATTCTCAGTTCCACTGTGACCCTTGGCTTCCGTCCATTCAAAATTTCAGTTTATCTCATCTGGGGTTGGAGCCGTCCCGTGTTTGTGATTGGATTGATCCAACTAATCGCAGCTGGAATATGGATGCAATCAGGAATCTGGTGCCTGAAGAGATTGTCCAAGCTATTGCTAGAGTTCCGATTGGCCCCTGTTCGTCGCAGGATCGGTGGATTTGGAGGTTTACAGAATCAGGAGGCTACAGTGTTAAGTCTGCTTACCGTCTGTTTAGGGAGGTGAGAGATTCCCCTCAAGTTATTGCTGCATATACCTTTTCTCGACCTTACAAGGATGATTGGAAGTGGCTTTGGGATCTTTCCTTGCCCCATAAGCTTCGGTTTTTCATTTGGAAGAGTGGTAAGAATGCAATGGCAACACGAGCGAGGTTGTTCGAACGTAAGTGTGCTTCTGATCCAGTGTGCCCATTGTGTGAGGAGCATGTTGAAACGATTATGCATTGTTTGTTCCATTGCTACAAGGCATGTGAGACGTGGTCTAGGGTCGGCTTGTTGGCGGTTCCCCCTTCTGAGGATACCAGCTTTGCGGACTGGTTTTTTTCTCTCAGAGATAGCTTGACACCTGACCAAACCAACAAGATTGTGTGTACAATGTGGAATATCTGGATTGCTCGGAATGGAATATTTTTCGATGGGAAGGTGTTCTCCCCACCCACTGTGGCAATTCTAGCTGATAGAGAGTACCGAAACATTAAGGAAGCTATGGCCTCGTCCTCAGCTTCCCGCTCTTATTCAAGATCAGCTGGTTTGCCGTCTCAGCCTGGGAGATCTCGCTCGACGACCTTATCACCGCCTGGTCCTTACAGTAAGGTTGTGCATTGTGATGGTTCCTTTGTCTCTGATGCACAGGTGGCGGCGTATGGGATTGCTATTGCTAACTCCCACGGTCAGGTTATCGACGGAAGGGCTGAGAGATTCTTTTGTTCTTCTCCGTTACAAGCGGAAGCTTATGCGATTCTTAATGTAGTTATCCTGGCTGCTCAGGATCCAGTCCCAACGTGCGTCAGATCCGATTGTCAGAGGTTGACGATTTCGTTGAGACAGGATCCTAGCAAGTGGCCATGGCAATGCCGGGCAACTCTTGCTCGGGTTGTTTCCATTCTTTGCCTCTCTCCTTGGATCTCGGTTGAGTTTGTTCCCCGTCGTTTCAATGCCTTGGCAGATTGGATTGCGAGGAACTCTCGTCTGGATCTCCTTCCCTCGAAATGGATTGTCATTGCCGATCTTGTCGCTCCATTATTGTAATTGTATTGCTTCTCACTTGTGTGGGTTTGGAATGAAATGATGATTGCTTTGTCAAAAAAAAAAGAAGAGAGAAAGTGAAGGGGAAAAAAGGTTGAGAGATGAGTGATTTGAAATAATTAAGGGTGGGTAGGTATTTTAAATAACACACAATGAGTTACTTCAATTGCTCATGCACAAAATACCAGATTAATATATTTTATTTTAATATATAAAAGCCTAACATTGGAGTTACTATTCATTGGTGGCTCCCAAACTCTTACAAGTGCAAGTGGGGAAGTTTCAAATACTTCTTTTACCTCACTCTCTCATTCTATAACATATGTGTTCATCTATTGTCCATCGGGTCTACATCTATTGCCCATTAGGTTTCTCATATTAGTTATTGTCTATTTAAGTATTTTCATCTATTGTTCATTGCTTCCGTCGAGTCAATATATAATTGGAGTTACTATTCATTATTGGTTTCCAAACTCCATCAAGTGCAAGTGAGAAAGTTTCAAGTCCTTCTTTTACCTCACTATCTCATTCTATAACCTATGTGTTTATTTATTGTCTGTCTGGTCTACATCTATTGCCCATTAGGTTTCTCATAGAAGCTATTGTCTATTTAAGTTTTTTCATCTATTGTTCATTGCTTCCGTCGAGTCAATATATAAAAGCCTAATATTTAAGTTATTATTAATTAGTGGCTCCCAAACTCCTCCAAGTGCAAGTGAAGAAGTTTCAAGCTCTTCTTTTACCCAACTCTTTCATTCTATAACCTATGTGTTCATCTATTGTCCATCGAGTCTACATCTATTGCCCATTAGGTTTCTCATAGTAGTTATTGTCTACTTAAGTTTTTTCATCTATTGTTCATTGCTTCCGTCGGGTCTACATCTATTGCCCATTAGATTTCTCATAGTAATTATTGAATACTTAAGTTTTTTCATCTATTGTTCATTGTTTAACCTGTTGCAACAATTATCCATTAGGTTTTCGTCTATGATCTTTTGCCCAAATCATCGCCTTGGCCCATCAATTCGCAACTCATTTCAAAACACTATACGAAATCAATGAATAATAGATGCCACGACTGCGACCCAATCTTCGCCTTCGCCCACGAATTCACAACCCTTCTCCAAACATTGTTGGTGGAAACCTAATTTGTAACCATCCACCGTGTCCCAAGACTACTATAGAAAAATCCATACTAAATTTGCTTTGTGTTGCTGAGTGTTGTATCTGGATCGAGTTTCATATTTTTTAGCATTTTCTTATTTCTCTTTTTTCCTTTTGGCTAAGCATGATAATTGAACTCAAGCTCATGGGTATCCAACCTAATTCGACCAGGTCATAGCGACTTGAACCTGACATAAGTATTTTTAAATTTTTATCTTTTTTATTATGTTGAGAATGATATTGAACTCAAAGCCATGGTATGGACGAGTTTTGTATCGAGAGCGAGTTTTATTCGCTTTTGTAGTTGGCAGATTGGGTCCAGTGTGAATTTGTTGAGATCTCGATTCAACCAGGTCTAAGCTAGCTGAACATGGTGTTGAAGAGTTTTGGATCGAGAGTGAGTCTTGTATGCTTTAATGTTTTTTATTTTCCTTTCAGTTGAGAATGACAATGAAACCCAGACCCGGCGCTAACGAGTTTTCTATCGAGAGTGCGTTTTATCTGCTATTAGAATTGGCGTGTTGAACCAAGTGTGAATTGTTAAAAACTCGGTTCGAACTAGTCAAGGCGAGTTGAGCTCGGTGTATAGAGTTTTTGGTAGGGAGCGAGTTTTATCCGCTTTACTGTTTTTATTTATCTTTTTTCTTTTGGTTGAGCACCCAAATCTACATGTATCCTTATAAAAAAAATTCTATAGGTATCCAACCTGATTAAAACAACTTGAACCCAGTGTTCACAAGTTTTCGAGTGGGAGTAACTTTTATTTTCTGTTTTGTAATTGACGGGTTGGGTCGACTGTGAATTTGTTACAAACTCCGTTCAGCTCGATCAAATAAAGTTGAACATGATGTTGCCGAGTTTTGGATCGTGAGCGAGTTTTATCTGCATTAGTGTTTGTTAATTTCTCTTTTTCTTTTGGTCTTCTAAACAACAGAGCTTTTTTCGAATAAGCCAATTTATTGAGAATGAAATTGATCCCAAATTCATTGGTATTCAACCTAATTCAATTCGGTAAAGTGAGTTTAACCTCTTCAAACCTGCAATCGGTCCTAAAATCCATATAAAGGAGAATCAAGATGAACTTAAAAAGCAAAAAGAATACAAACTAATCGGGTAAATTGCAAGTTTGGCCACTAGAATTACTAAAACATTTCATGTTTGCCACTAAGATTAGTTTATTCTATTCATGGTCACTTAAATTAGTGTAGTAGTCCAAATTTGATCACAGGCCTCAGTATCCGTCAGCCTCCGTTGACATCGTTAGTTTTTTACTGACATGGCAAACAGAGATGATAAGTCACCCACTTTAAACACATAAAAAAAATAATTAGACCCTCAACCTCATAAAACCCAACCCAACCCAACCCCGACCCAACTCTCTCTTTCTCTCGCCTCTCTCCTCTAGCGCTCCTCGCCGACTCTCTCTTTCCCATGGAAGCCCGTCACTCTAGGAAGGCTCCTCGCCGACCCTCTCTTTCCCAGTTAAGCGCCGCCACCACAAACGCAACAATAGAAATGTAAAGAAAAAAGACGCAGGAAACATCGGCAACAATTGGGAGATTTGGAAACATTGAGATCAAATCTCGAAGACAATTCTCCTTCAGAGGTGATCAAGTACATCCGGAATTCACGTGCAGGGCAAAATGACGAAAAGTTGTGGTGTTCCTCTCTCTCGGAAGATTTATAATGGGAAGCTGGCGAAGTGCCTTGCGGCGGCTGAATTGCTGGGCGACGGAGCTGAGATTAGGGTTGACTGTATCACCGCCACCGTCGCCATCAATTGCCGAGCAAGGAAAGAATTACCCGACTCTGCTACCTATCCGGCTCCCTGCGCTTCTTGAACGCCAGAGAGACGTTGCTGCCCACGAACTCGATCGCTCTCCTCACCAGCACTGATATCCCTCTTCCGCAGTAGATCTGGGCACAACGACCTAGGGGTGGCAGTCGGTTTTCCGGTTAGCGGCTAACCGGTCGGTTTCAACCGAACCGACCGGTTTTCGGCTAGCCGAAAAACCGATTCTGAAGAAGGCGGTCGGTTGGCGGTAGAGGAAATTAGGGTCCGGTTAGCCGAGTAACCGAAGCCGGTTAACCGCGACTAACCGGCCGACCGACCCAAAACCGAAAATATAAAAAGAGAAGGTGACCCACAGCAGACTCTTCTTCTTCTCTCTTTCCTCCACAGCAGACTCTTTCTCTCTTCTTCTCTCCGACTCTTCTTCTTCTCTCTTCTTTCCACAGCAGATCCGAATCTTCTTCTTCTTCTCTCTTCTCTCCTCCTCCTCACCTTAACTCCTTCGACTCTTCTTCCTCTGCATGGCGGCCAGATCCTCGCGCCACACCTCGCTCCGCGTCGCCGCACCTCGCTCCCGTCGCCGCGCCCCGCGCCCCTCGCCGTCGTCGCGCCCCGCGCCCCTCGCCGTCGTCGCGCCCGTCGCCGTCGCCGCGCCCATCGCCCGCCCGTCGCCGTCGCCGCGCCCCGTGCCCGTCGCCGCGACCCCTCTAGGCTCCAGATCTGTTTCCATGGAGAAAGGTGAGAGAAGAAGGAGAGAGAAGAGGTCTGGTGGAGAGGAAGGAAGGAGAGGAGGAGATAAGGAAGGAGTGGTAGAGATTTTTTGTTTCATTTATTATTTTTTTTTTTTGAAAAAGTATTTTCGGTTGGCCGGCTAACCGAGCCTAAACTCGAAACCGACCGGTCGGTTGGCCGGCTAACCGTGAGCTCTCTTCGGTCGGTGATCGGTATCTACAGGGGGTGGCGCGGTTTAACCGATAACCGGGTTTTCGGTTTTCGGTTAAACCGAAACCGACCGACTGCCACCCCTACAACGACCTCCCAAATCCAGATCCGAGGTGAAACTCAGACATGCTCGGCCATCAAACATCGATTGCCAGCCGGTCGAGATCGAATTCGCCCTCTCCCTCAACCACCGCCACCGGCAGTCCCCCCGTTGCCGGAGATGTGGAGGAATGCTTTGAGAGTGAGGAAGTTGGGGATGGGATTGAACATTGAGGGTGTGATGATGAGTGCATGGATCAAGGAATGGTCTGATTGAATAAAGGAATGTGAAGCTAAGGAAAATTTGGGTGATGGTGGTATCAAGTGAATTGGAAGAAGAAGATGTCCTGCAGAAGTGAAGAAGGATGAAGAACATAAGACTCTGCAGGTTTGAACGAAGAAGAAACCTCACCCAGAAACGAAACGTTTCTGGGTTCCCTCCACTCAACTTAAACGAAGAGGCAAAGCGGCGTCGTTGTGGAGTCTCGGGTTTTACCGTTGAGTGGACAATCACTGTGACGAATGAAGAGAAGACAAGTGTCATTTACTTTACAGTCAATTTGAATTTCTGTTTAACTTTTCTTTCCTTCTGGTTTTGTAACGTGAAGAACACAATACAGACTGATATATAAATCAAATGCAGAGAACAATGATTCTCTTGCGCGTTCCCCATTTCTGTGTCGCATTCTTCTTCCTTCTCTTAACCCTAGCTCAGCTAGTTTGATATGGTATCAGAGCGGTTACTGATCCAGTAACCTTCCATGGCGACTCACACCAATACTCCGCCTGGCACTCCTGGAGGCATTCCTTTCGGCTCCTTTTCTGGAATGAACGCAGGTGGATCAGGTGGATCCAACAACAACAACGAGCGCCCAGATCCCCAATTCGGTAACCCCTTCTATATCAACCCCAATGAGAACATTTCTCAAGCTATAGTCTCTGAAGTGCTTGATGGACCCAATTACCAAATGTGGCAGCGAGCCATGAGGATGGCACTCAAAACCAAACACAAGATTGGTTTTATCGATGGGTCCATCGTCTCTCCAGGAATAGGAAACCCTAATTACAGTACTTGGGATGCCTGTAACACTCTTGTATTGTGCTGGATTCTGAATTCTGTGGACAAGGAGATACGGAGAAGTGTTATGCAACATGACGTTGCTCAGACTCTATGGGAAGAGCTTAAGGCTCGTTTTGGGTATGCCAATGCAATTAAGTTATCTAATCTGGGTGATCAAATTATTGCTTGCAAACAAGGAACTATGAATGTTACCCAATATTATACTGCCTTGAAAGGTTTGTGGGAGGAACAGTTGCAGTTCAATCCAATTGTGGACTGTAACTGTGCCCCTCAGAGGACTCAACCTTGTGCTGCAGTGGAGGCTTTCAAGCAGAAGCAGGAAACAGATTATCTCATTAAGTTTTTGAAAGGTCTTCGCCCTGAGTTTGATGTGGTACATACTCAGATTCTGATGATGAAACCTTTGCCAACAGTAGAGGTAGCAATCAATGATGTACTGCAGCATGAGCAAAAACTGAAGGCAGACAAAGGCATTACCAGGAGTGTCCAAACTGTTGCTTTGGCTGTACCAGGAGACAATTCAGATGAGAAAAAGTTCTGTCGTTATTGCAAGAAAGATGGTCATGTTAAGGATGAATGCTGGAAGCTGAAAAACAAGAAACTCAGGATGGCTGGAGGAGTAGCTGCTGCTGTTTCTCAAGGAGAGAACTCCAATGAGGGAGATTCAACTGGTTCAGAGTCCAAACACAGCTCAGACTCTAGAAGTATCTCCTCAAAGGATAATCTTCATTTCTCACCTGAAGAGCTCAACAAGCTAAGGTATCTGCTGCAGACAGTTCCCTCACCTAGTCCATCACCACCTGCATCACCTTCAGTCAATCACCTGGCTTTCTCTGTTGCTCATAGCATGTCTCAGTTCCCAACTCATGCTGGTAAGTTCATACTCTCATCTTTTATGCAAAACAAGTCAGAACATCTTGCTCATACTTGGATCCTGGACACTGGGGCATCTGATCACATTGCTTGTAATATTGCATTGTTTGCTGAAGCTATGGCAGTTAAAGATCAATTTGTCTATCTACCTAATGGGACTAAGGTTGTAGTTAGTCACATAGGAAAGGTTAATCTATCCCCAGACCTTACCTTAGACAATGTTCTCCTTGTGCCAAGTTTCACTTTCAACCTAATCTCAGTTAGCAAACTTACAAATGATCAACCTATCTCACTACATTTTGAATCTGATGCTTGTCAAATTCAGGACCTGGTGACCCAGAAAAGGACTGGTTTGGCAAGACAGAATAGAGGTCTATACCAATTGCATACCAAGGCTCATGCACCTCTTCTTTCTACTCCTCAAGCAGCCTTTACCTACAACTTTCACCCACAAAATTTCCACCTCTGGCACTGGAGACTAGGGCACCCAGGCAAAGATAAAGAGAAACAGACATTACCTTGTAATAGAGATGTAGTTTCCCATTGTCAAATTTGTCATTATGCCAAACATAAAAGGCTTTCTTTCCCTGTAAGCACCAGTAGAGCAGAGGATGCTTTTGGTTTAATTCATGTTGACATATGGGGGCCATTGGCTGTCAAGTCACATGAAGGTTTTTTCTATTTCCTAACTGTTGTGGATGACTTTACAAGGGCTGTTTAGGTTTTCTTAATGAAACACAAGTCTGAAACTGGTCTTTTGTTGCAATCTTTTTGCACTATGGTTGAAAGGCAGTTCTCTAAGTCTGTTAAAGTTATCAGAAGTGATCAGGGTTCTGAGTTTCACATGGCTGAGTTCTATAGTGATAAGGGTATTGAACATCAACAGTCATGTGTGGAGACTCCAGAACAGAATGCCAGGGTTGAAAGGAAGCACCAACACATACTGAATGTAGCAAGAGCTCTTAGATTTCAATCTGGCATTCCTCTTAGGTTCTGGAGTGACTGTGTGTTGCATGCTGTGTATTTGATTAACAGACTTCCTTCCACTGTTCTTGAGAACAAGTCTCCCTATGAGCTTTTGTATGGAAAAGCTCCCAATCTGAATGGTCTTAAGGTTTTTGGATCCCTTTGTTATGCTGCTTCTTTGCATAGGGATAGAACAAAATTTGATTCCAGGGCCAGGCAGTGTATATTCTTTGGCTTTCCTGCAGGGATTAAAGGGTTCAAACTCTTTGATATCAATTCACACTCTTTCTTTGTTTCCAGAGATGTGATTTTCTATGAATCTATCTTACCTTTCCATTCTACTTCTTCCTCTATTCCTCCTGATGATTCTTTTTCCCCCATGATCACAGAGCCTATCCTGCCACATTTTCCTTCTACTTCTCAAACTCCTTCTATTACCAAAAACCTTCCTCACTCTCCACATCCATCTCCACTTCAGCCTGCAAACCCTGTCACACCTGCTTCTTTTTCTACTCATTCTCCTTCTTCTCCAACACTGCCTGTTGCTTCTGAGGAGGTTACTCCTGCTGTCAGTTTGCATTCTGAGGGGGAGGATAGTGAGATTGATGTGTTTCCTGAGCAGAATGACACAGATGAGGCTGAATTTTTGAGAAAGTCAAGTAGACCTCACACTGTACCAGTTTGGCATAAAGATTATCATGTTAGCATGGCTGCATCAACTTCTAAACACCACATCAGTCATCAGGTTGGCTATGACCACTTGTCTGCTTCCCAAAGAGCTTTTGCTCTTAGTGTCCTGTCTGTACAAGAGCCCTCATCATATGCTGAGGCTTGCAAGGATCCTAGATGGAACCAAGCATGCAAAGAGGAAATTTATGCCTTGTATGAAAATCAAACATGGGAATTGGTCAAGCTGCCACCAGGAAAGAAACCTATAGGTGCAAAATGGGTGTTTAAAGTGAAATACAAGTCTGATGGTACAATAGAGAGGTTTAAAGCAAGGCTAGTTGCTAAGGGTTATACCCAAATCTATGGGATTGATTTTCTTGACACCTATTCTCCAGTAGCAAAGATTAATTCAGTCAAAACTCTGTTAGCAGTGGCTGCCTCTAAGGATTGGCACATACACCAGATGGATGTGTCCAATGCCTTTCTTCATGGAGACTTGGAGGAGGAAGTGTATTTGGAAATTCCACCTGGAGTTGATGTTCCTAAGGGTTCAGGGCTTGTTTTCAAGCTTAAGAAATCCTTATATGGCCTGAAACAGGCAAGCAGACAGTGGTTTGCAAAACTCACCAGTGCATTGTTGAAAAATGGTTATTCACAAACTGCTTCTGACTATTCAATGTTTGTGAGGTGGATTCAGGGAAGAGTGGTTGTGGTTCTTGTCTATGTTGATGACATTCTGATTGCTGGGAGTCATCTTGGGGACATAGAACAATTGAAGAAGTTCTTGAGTAAAGAATTCAAGGTTAAAGACCTTGGTCAACTGAGTTATTTCCTAGGACTGGAAGTGATGAGAGATCACAAAGGGATCACAGTCAGTCAAAGGAAATACTGTTTGGAATTGCTTGATGACACTGGTTTTGTAGAAGCAAAGGGTTGCTTGTCACATGTTGACTGCAATGTTAAGCTTTCTGCAGAACAAGGAGAATTGATGGCAGATCCTGGTGTCTATAGGAGACTGATAGGAAGACTGCATTACCTAACTATTACAAGGCCTGATGTGGCTTATGCTGTTCAACAGCTGGCTCAATTTCAAGCTGCCCCTTGTGTTGAGCATTTACAAGCAGCACATAGAGTTATTAGATACTTAAAACAAACTCTTGGTCAAGGCTTGATTTTCAGGGCAGATTCAAAACTTGAATTATCTGGCTATTGTGATGCAGACTGGGCAAGCTGTCCAGATTCAAGGAGGTCTCTCACTGGTTACTGTACTTTCTTAGGGACTTCATTAATCACCTGGAAGACTAAGAAACAGACTACAGTCTCTAGGTCCTCCTCTGAAGCTGAGTATAGAGCTTTGGCTCAGGTTGTGTGTGAAGTGCAGTGGCTAAGAAATCTCTTGACTGAAATGGGAGTTAAGGTACCTTTACCAATCCCTCTGTTTTGTGATAACAAATCTGCTATGCATATTGCTGAAAACCCCGTGTTCCATGAAAGGACAAAGCACATTGAGATAGATTGCCATGTTACAAGAGAAAGGTTGAAATCTGGTTTGGTTAAACTGTTCCATGTAAGAACTGATG